AACCTAAACCCGATTAAACATTTATTATCCAAATCTCCAGACTAAACTCACTCAAAGTCAGTCCCGTTGGTTTTCGTGAATAACCAACTTTTCTATTATAATTAAGCCCATAAAGCTTTGAAACTATAAAATACCGATTCACGATCGAATCTTGCGCCTAGTTACATCTAGCACTCTGGCGTCAAAACAATAAAAATCTCTTTGATGCGCGGTGAAACCGTGAATTCATCCACGTATCACGTTATTTACGGTTGATAGTCGTTGATCGCACTAATTAAAATAACCAAGAGAAGCGAGGCAAAATAGTGTGAAGGGTCCCGTACCGTGATCTAGTTATACAAATATCATAGTTTAATAAAATAAGGGACCGGCAAAAATAGGGGAAAAATGTAGTTTTTGGAGACCTTTTGTAAATATAAGGGTGTTGCCTAACTTTGCATTAAGTGAAATGTCCTGGGTTTGAATCCCGAGCAAATTGTTTTGCTGGAATTCGAACTTATAAATAAATAAGTCAAACTAATACATTTTGAATTTCAAATTGTTAAAAGTGTTTTATTTAAATGTTTACTAGCGTAAACTGTAGAATGAAATTTAATCAAAGTTCTGAAACGAAATTTGACAGACTAAATAAACATAACATTTCTTTTATCAAAGTCTAGACTCCATAGTTAGAATCCTTTTTTAGTTCTAGTACTAAGATAAACGATAACGGGTCTAAAAACTCTGATCACGACCCTTTGTTATGTTAACTGTGCTTTTAACAAAAGGTTTTATTTTAGTTCAAAGTTCAGCTTCGCACCAATAAGTGAAAATTTATTTCAAAGCATGCGATAAAAATCACAATTTCCTTTCACGAGAAATGAGGATCCGAAGAATGTGTGTGTATAGCTTTATACAAATGTAGATGTGTGCGTGAGTTTGTGTAAACAACAGATTAAAGAATTATAATTATTTAATTTTAAGTGTTTAAAACGCGAAATATATTAGTTAAACATATTATTTACAAATTATTTTAGTTGTAAAGTCTATATGTCGGGACAGGTGGCGGTAGTATAGCAGTTTTTTACTTTGATTTTGTGCCGTAGTCGAAATAATTCGTTAATAAGTTTAATTACTATATTGCGCGTTTTAAACCCTTATAGTGTTGTATTTTAGTACATTATGATATAAGTGCGGTAAGTTGAAAATTATAGCCGAGGCGATATTACTATAAGAAAGCAGATGCTGTAATTTTCAAAGCGCACGTATGTCATACGAAGTTTTATAAATTTACGAGGAAATGACGACATCTTCAAATAAAAACAATACAGCGAAAAGAAAAAGCGCACGGAATTATTTTTACTTGTCCACAAATAAGCGATGCGGCAAAAGATTAATTAAAAATTTTGTATTAAAAATGTAGATAGTCGGCTTTATCAAAATATATTGTTTATCTTTAATTAAAAATTGTTACTCATAACAAATATGGTTGACACAATATTGCTAATTTATATACAGTAAAAATATAACTTTCTTTACTATGCGAAAACTAAATAAAAAAACAAGGGCTCATAACTTAAGTCCGTTTGGTATGGATCTCTTCTTTAGGGTTTTCTCAATTTAGGGCCATATATGGGGCAGTATTATTGATATAATTCCAATTGATTTGCGTCATTTCACTTCTGTTAGGGTTTTCCTCGATTTAGGTCCGTCCCTTGGCTTCCGGGAGTGATCGCGGACTGGGGCGCATTCTATGGGCCAGTGAGTCATATCGATATATTCAATGATTTGCATCATTTCAATAAAAATTATAATTTTACAAAATTAAATAGTATAATTATAAATTTGGTTGAAAATGTTTTATCAGTAACTAAATCGTCTATTATAAAGAACTTTACATAAAATAATTTCAAAATAAGTTATAATTGTATGTCTTAAACAGGAACTTAATTATAATTCTAATTGGTTTCACATTTAATAAGTTGTTATATAGTTATAATAATTAAACGGTTACATTTAATTTTCTAATATTTTTAATATTTATAGAATTTTATGATTTAGAGAAATTGAGATTAAAACATAACTTAGTGTAACAAAAGAACTTAAATTATCAGAATAATCTAACACGCGCATCAACGTTTTTTTTTTAGGCAAAGTCACAAAAACAGCCAGTATTACTAAAACGCTTATCTCAGACAATAAAAAATACATATTTCTCCATCAATCAAGACAGGCTGATAAACAAATCAGTTTCGTCCCAGTAACATCCAGTTCATCGATTGAAGTGAAGTAAGCTTTTAACGCTGTATTTGAAAAGATGAATGAGCTTTGAACTTGTATTCACAGCTGTAATTATGAAAGGTTGTATTGCCCGCAATGTGCGTTTCGCATAATTATTCTTTAATTATGAATTTAAATTGAATTTGAATTAAACTGAACTTAACCTTGAATTAAACTTAAAAATCTTTCAACTTTAAAATCTTACAAAGGGGCTAATGTCTAGGGCTAGTGTTTGTTTGTACAAAGCTTCATTAAATGTGCTTTTTGTCTTATTTCTTCACGTAAGTATGTGTAAACGCAAAGAAAACATTAAATTGTATGCGTGAGTTCAGCCTCTTTAATATTTCCCACTGCTGGGATTCCTCCTGTAGATAAGACTTTATTCTATCAAGCTAGTGTGTTAACTAAAACAAGTAAAATTTTTTGGTCGCCGTCGTCTAATACATATCGCCCCGTGACCACGGCTACTGCAGAGGATCCCATCAAATTCAAATTTCCAAAAATGTTATTTTAAATAAAGAAGCATAAAGATCTAATTCGTTATATCAAAGTTTAAATAAACACTTTAACGGTTTAAAACGCGAAGCTAGCTACGGCCGGATGTTTCGCAGCAGACTCCCGTGACCACGGCTAACTACTAAAACATTTAACTTTAACTAATATATTTCGCGTTTTAAACTGTTGAAGTGTTTTAGTTAAATGTGTACTCTCGCTACTCGCGTAAACTACAGACAGTATTTATATTTTATACCATTGCTTTTAGGCTAATACATACAGAATTTTCTCACATAACAAACATTTCTATTGTTTCACGGTATATCAAATGTAAACAGATTTTGCGTCAAAGACGCCAAGCTCACTTTGTATTGTGATTTATCGTTGACGTCGATCATCGTAAAATCGTCGCGGCGCCAAAGGGTGGAAAATGAAAATATTGTCTATTAAATTCGTATTCGGATTTGCCGAAATTGAATTTGTAAATATTGAAAAGCGGGGAAACGCCTTTGATATATCCCAACTTAAGTAACAAATCGTGACGTACATCAACGACTATAGGAGATATTAAAAAAGTTTTGACTTCACCGATTTTGCAGCTCGATTGTTGAACGCAATGTTTGTGGGGCACATTTTCTGAGTTTGAATCCCGAGGAAACGGACACAGAAATATCTTCGTCCTATGTCGCACACAGAGGAAGCGTGATATCAAAGTTTTCGTTAAGATATTCTTATAATTGCTTATTACAAAATATGTACAATGTCAGAAAAGCGCTTTAACGATATTTTTAGGAATCAGAAGCGGATTTAATAAAATAAAAACAAAATAACACAACAACTAAATAAATTAAAATTCAACAAAATCCTATCGACCGGCAGCACGTCCGTTCCGTACAACGAGCGTCGAAAAAAAGTGTGCGAGCCGTTGCTTGAGGCTTGTTTATATAGCCTTCAGTGTGGCGGGTAGTTGAGCTTTTCTGATTTCTAACACGGCCTCTCCTGACCGTGTCCGTCCTCGGGCACCTCCTCTGTCGCGACCCCCTCGCGTGAGTCTGTGCAGCTGGGGACGGCTACCTGCAGCCGCGTGCACACGTGACCACGCGTTGTGCTAAGCTGTCTTTTTATGGAAAAAAAATACGGTTGGCCGAAGTATGGAGAGCTACATCCCGTAGCTACCGCAGTCGTCCTCGAACCGATCGCCTCGAGCCGGGTCGCCTGCGGGCCGACCAGGGGCCCGGAACGAGTTCTTCGGCTGAGCGCGTGACCGCACAACCTAAGCACCGTTTCTTCGCACCACAACTTGACGAGAGGACGCACGAGGCACCCACGATGCGCGGGTGTGTCGGCGGACCTCGCCGCTCGCGCCCTGCTGCGACTCTGCCATGTGACACCAACGCCCAGAGAAGACACCCAGGCGGCGGCTACCGCTTCCGCGCTCTAAATGCCGGAAGTTGCGATTTCGGCCGTCACCCTCCCCGGCCGCCGAAGGAAGCCGCATGCGCGCCGTGTAGCCCGCGCGTGGGCTGCGCGCTGCCACTGGTGGCGTGGCGCCGGTTGAACTCCCCCTCGTTCCAGGGTCGTCCCGGCTGCCTGCTGCCGCCGTGCCGCTCTCCCGACGCAGCCATTGAACACGAACAAGAAGCACAGGACACGGTGTGCGCGAGACGAAGCCGCCCGTGTCCCCGAGCGCCTGCTGCCGCTCTCCTGACGCAGCCATTGAACACGAACAAGAAGCACAGGACACGGTGTACGCGAGACGAAGCCGCCCGCGTCTCCGAGCGCCTGCTGCCGCTACCAGGATCGCCGGGTGTTGAAGAGTAGCCATTCAGCATCCTCCTCACACGAAGCGTGCAGCACCCAGTACGTCGGTGCGCGAGACGAAGCCACCGACGTCACCACCGGCCTGACGCTGCTCAGCAGCACATCTACTGACAGGCTCGTAGAGACGAGTCGCGTAACCAGCAACCTCCCGCAGGCTCATCAGCGCAAAGGAGAATACCTAAACATCCATAAAAAACTACAGGATGTGCACACAGCTAAACATCCATAAAAAACTCCAGGATGTGCACACAGCTAAACATCCATAAAGAACTCCAGGATGTGCACACAGCTAAACATCCATAGAAAACTCCAGGATGTGCACACAGCTAAACATCCATAAAAAACTCCAGGATGTGCACACAGCTAAACATCCATAAAAAACTCCAGGATGTGCACACAGCTAAACATCCATAAAAAACTCCGGGATGTGCACACAGCTAAACATCCATAGAAAACTCCAGGATGTGCACACAGCTAAACATCCATGGGGACAGGTCGCATCTCCAGGGTTCCCCCAGAACTTCATATACAGCCACGCTGCACGACCACTACACCAGCGAAGTCAATCGCCGATGCTCACATTCACAACTGCAACATTAAGTAAAAACATTACGGACATTTAAAGAAAGACGTGTGCAGTATCTAGGCACGATATATTGGGCAGCAGCCTGTGTTGTTAAACTTCATTTTGCATCAACCGTTCGGCCGTCCTTTGTCTTCCAGCGTCATTGTAACAATATACCCCTAGACCTATATAGATCGATCGTCTTTCCTATGATAAAGACGGGACGTGCTGCGTGATCGCCTACTTCGCGAATGTCTACTTCGTGAGCGTTCTACTCGTATACGTTTCCCTTTCGATCGGGACAGACTTGATCTACCCATAACGGTCAAAACTATCTCCATATAAAAAGCAAAAAATTATCCGAGGGCGTGAAAATCTTTATCCCACTGCTGATTTTAGGAATCAGAAGCGGATTTACTAAAATAAAAACAAAATAACACAACAACTAAATAAATTAAAATTCAACAAAATCCTATCGACCGGCAGCACGTCCGTTCCGTACAACGAGCGGCGAAAAAAAAGTGTGCGAGCCGTTGCTTGAGGCTTGTTTATATAGCCTTCAGTGTGGCGGGTAGTTGAGCTTTTCTGATTTCTAACAATATATATTATAAGTCAAACTTATTTGGAAATTATTTTATTTAGGGGCCGACGATGCTTTGTAGAAGCTGTGGTCACGGGGAGACTAAAGATAGAGGGTGACTCTGATGTCAAAGTAAAAATTGCTACGCCATCTGTTCCGTCGTACGTACGGTAATACCTGTATTTGGTGAAACTGACCGGGTCCTTGCAGAATTGCCTAACGGTCTCTTTGCGTTTGCATATGCTGTTTTTTGGAATCAGAGTTTTTAATATGGGATCTCAGGTGTTTGATAACTTGAAGCCGTCATACAGTAACGTTTTAAACCGTTAAAGTGTTTTACTTAAATATGTACTACTCGCTTAAACTACAGACGGTATTTAAAGTAGAAAAAGCAAAGCTAACATGGCTTTTCATTTAGCTTAAAAATGGCGCAAAAACATGTACAAAATTAGCCCATACGTACGAATTTGTGAGTAAACATTTGCTGACGTCAAACCCTTGAGTGCAGCTGCAGAGACGTGACTCATTACTTTTCAGTGTAATGTTTTGTATTGCAAGGAAAGCTTAAATTAATTTTTACCTTATTATCAGTCCCTTAACAGTCCTTAATTCTGAGAATCAGTCCCCCTTATATAGGTCTGTATCTTTACAAATGACGGTCGTTTTATTTGTCTAAATAAATCTAATATAGACTAAATCCAGCTACAATGTGTTGCTGGATGACAAATGTCGGCCATTTTGTTTTAGTTGTAAAACTAAAGTTGTAATGTCTAAAAAATGGATAATAAGTATCATAAATCAAAAAATACTATTAAACTGTCTATTATACACGTCGGTCACTTACACATTAATTTTAACCTTAATTTTGTATTCATAATTAAATTATAAATAAAAAATTAAAATTATTAAAATAAAGCCGTGAAGTTTAATCGCGTTTCGGTTTCCGTCTGTGGATTTCCGAATATCCAAAGTCAAAATATCAGCGCATCTTGTGTAGATGTTCTATGGCTGGGGTGTTTCATCTTCAATTAAGTGAACCGTATGTTTGTCTGTCATCTATACGTTGAAAAAAAGCTCACAGTCTAAATATCTTTACAGGAATTGTCAACCGAGGTGATTCGTTCCGGCGCCGGCGGTCAAGATCTGGCAGTTTAGTCCCAGCATCACCAGCTCAGTCAGCCCCAGAAAACCAAGAGCGGCGACCTGTTGCCTGCCACAGAGTGGCGATGGTGGGAGCGCCTGGAGTGGGGAAAACGGCGCTCATAAGCCAGTTTCAGACTAGCGAATGCATAAACGCTTACGACAGACAAAGAGGTAGGTTCTACACTTTTTCTTATCTCGAAATTCTCTTTTCAAAGGATAAAAAAAATTGTGATAATTTACGCGATCGGTAGATATTGAAATACAAAACAGCAGGTCGTTAAAAATATATTTATTTATTAATTAATTTATTTAAAATGCAATAAATGCACAAAAAAAATTTAAAAAAAATATAATTTTTTATAAAAAAAAAGGGGGGGGGGGGGGGGGCCCCCCACCCCCGAGGGGAAAAAAAAAAAAAAGGGGGGAAAAGGAGGGGGGGGGGGGGAAAAAAAAAAAAAAAAATATATTACGTGGTATATGTTCCGCGTTTTAAACTGTTAAGTTGTTTTAGTATTTGGTTTACGTTTTAATGCTTTTTCTAAATCGGTACATCTTTTGTTATATAGGTATATTTTATCGTAAAATTAACTAGAGTAGGAACCTATACAGATGGTGTCAGAAACTCCATATTTACGGATACGTTACGGTAGTTCTCCTCCATAACATATTTATAAAATAAATTTATATAAATTCTTTAAGAAAAAGTTGAAGAATAATTAGGTAGATAAAATAAATACCTTAGTTATATCCCACACGAGGTAATGTATATTTTCTTTTTTACACTCCGCAAGATAACAATATTTAACAAAGAATAACTCAAACAAAATCTTTCTTCGGGGAATTTTAATTACTGAACGAAGAGCGTTCGTTAATTACACAGCAAACCTTTTAAAAGACCGCCTAATTATGCAACAGGAAATAAAACTAATAGTCCGTTGAGTACGCCGCCATTTTTAGCAATTAAACATGTTATCATTGTTCGTTTCTTTAACGTACCCCCTGTTGCTCTTCCCCTCTCTCACAGGAGAGAGTATTTAGAAGCTTAGCCCACCACGCTACTTTGGACGCGTTGCTGCGCTTTAACGACTAACTCACAATCACCACTAATTTTGTTTTTTATTATGATTTTACGTATTGAGCCCGGGGCTTCGAATACTAACCTGGCTAGACTGTGTTTGCGGCTAGACCAAGGGTGCCCCGAGGGGGGCATCGGCCTCCAGGCTTCGAGCCGCCGCAATGCGGGTGGGAGCTTAAAGAGCTGGACGGAAGCTCACCCGGATGAGTGGTACGTGGAGCGAATGACCTGGCCACCACTAAATTAGTGTTGATGATACCTACTTCTAATCCCCTTTCTTGCGCTAAAAATTTCTTCCGTTTTCAAGACGGGATTCGAACCGAAAACTTTTGAGAATAGTTTTTTATCGTGTGTACAAACTACAGGTATTTCAAGTTACAACAAAAAATGTTTGATATTGTTTTAGTAATTGCCTAGTTAAACAATGCGCAAACACTTTATTTGAAAGTATATTTTATTTAAACAGTAGGCTTTAAATGTCCAAATTATTCGTTGAAAAATCTATTTAGATACGATTCAGGCAGGACTTGACCCGGCAACCACAGCGTTCCGTGCTGCTGCTCTAACCAATTGAGTTACCGTGTCCTACTTAATTTAAACAATGCTATCATGTGTAAAATATTAAAGGTTTCATTTATTGCTTTGAGCGCGAGACTTAGTAAATTTGTTTGTCGGTCTGAAAGGTCATAAAAGTCTGATGAGAAGCCAAACTTGTGAAAGAGGGAAAAAGGGTTGAGTTGAGTTCCATAGCTTTTCTTTACTAAAAAGTAAACAGTGGATCTAATAGTAACAACTTCAAGGGATATAAAAGTCGTACCTGACAAATTAATGTCCAAATAAAATGCCTTTATTGAACTGTTAATACATTTCTCGGAAACATTGGTTGTTGTTTAGTCTGTGGAGCGGTAAACAGTTTTATATGATTTTAATTAGTTGGAACAAGTTTAAGAATACGCACGTTTAGCTTTTGTTATTTTCTGATTCAATACATTGAAATAATGTTTAAGACTTTTGCGTATATAAAATTACTAGCTGTGCCCGCGACTGCGTCCGCGTTGAAAAGTTATTTTGGCTTAAGAAAACCTTCTTTTTATAACTTTAGTTGTTACCTACGACGTCGTCCCATGCCGGCGTTCTTGCAAGTTAATCTTAAAAGATGAAAAGAGACATATTTCTGTCCTGTCGCGGACATTTTTTTAGATAATTTAAAGAGGAATCATTCTTTTTTTGAGTTTCTTCAACCGTTTTAGCAGTGCACGCAACGAAACTCATAAATATGAATGGTTTCTCGCTTCTTTTTCACATGTCCGAATGCTACTTCGCTGCATTGGTCGCAGGATGATTTTTATATCCTAATGCCTTCTTTGATAACTCTAACCGGAACCAGTTCTTGAGATTAGCGCGTTCAAACAAACAAACTCTTCAGCTTCACAATATTGGGTTAGAGTTGTATAAGCAAATCTGTAAAATTCTGTTTCCCTTACGGACCTGATGTGTTTCTCTATTTCAGGGATCGGTTTTTTAAAGGCACGTTCAGTATTAAAATCCAGCTGCCCTTGCAGAAGACATACAGCAGACAAAGGTCTACGTCCGTTACACTGATTGATTTTATTTATAGGCAAACTGATTGGACTTGTGTGTCCTGATCGACGGACACAGTTTATGACTTCCCCTGAATACGAACCCAGGAGCTCTTTCGTAACGCGTAGGTAGGGTCATGTCATCATTTATTTTGACTTTATTCTAAATATTTACTTTTTTGTACTTTTTACGTAAATGATGGACCCCAATATTGGCTGTCTGTCTGTCAGTTGCCAATGTATCATTATACATTATATTAGAATGCATTTACAGGGTAGCGTAAAGTATACCTTTTGGTTAACAATACTGACTAGATACTTAATAAAAAACATACTTAAGTGTTTTTTATTTTTATTTTATGTTTCTGTAGTACGGAACCGTGTACGCGATGCCGGCTCGCACTTAGCCTTACAGACGCAAAAGTTAACGGAACTGTTGCTGTTTTTCAACGTTTTTATTTTTTTTTTTTGCGGAAATTGGCATTTCAGTAGAACCTTTATGAAATATGTTCGGAGCATAATTTGCTTACACGAGGAAACCTTTTTCAAGCTGAAGTGTGTTAATTACGCCCATACAAATATAGAATTTACTCTGGTAGTTACAGTATAGAAAAATGTTTTATGGCAACATTGAGTTTTATTAGATGTCGTTACACTTTGTAAGCTTTTAAGGTTAGACTTGGCTTTTAAACTGTCCGTTTTATAACGAAAATTCTACAGGACACACGATACGTTTTCATCGTAAAATAGACAGGCAAAATCACGGTAAAAACAATTTTTCAGAATTAATTATATTAAAAAACCACACGCTATTTACAAAAATAGATCATTAAAATTAAAAATAAATAACTTTGTCCTAGCAAAATATTTGTTTTTAATAACTGTAAGTTTAAAACGCGATATATATTAAACTTATTTGAAAAATATTTTTAACTTCTGCCCGGACGTTCGGATGCTTTGCAGCAGCTGTGTCAGGAGCCTTTTTTAAACCTTAAGTCTTTTTTATTGTCTCCCTTGTTTTTTTTGTATTTTTTTCTTTTTTTTTTTCCCTTTTTTTTTTTATTTCACATAAATTATATTAAATATTTCTTTGAGAGAGAGACTTTGTTGTAGTCTTTAAATTTTTCTTTTTCTGGTTTTTGTTTTTTTTTTTTCTTCTGGCGGTAAGAATTGTACGGATCCTCAACTTTAAAACGTTATTTAGACCTCAGCAAAAAAGGGGGTTTTTGTTTCTTTTTTTTGTTACTAGGGGTTGCGATTAAAGGTGAAAATAAAAGTTTTTCCATTTTTGATGTTTGGTTTAACCCCTGGTTGTTTTTCTTTTGAAATAAAATCTGTATTCTTTTCTTATATGTTTATTTTAAATGGTATTTACTTGTTCTGAATTTTTAAATACTTGAATATTACTCATGTTATTGCACATCATACAACTATATAAATTAAAAACAAATAAATAGTAGTACCGTAGGGCACAGTAGCTCAATTGGTTAGAGCAACAGGACGGGACGCTTACGATACCGGTTCTAGTCTTGCCCGGGTCCGAGTCCGAATTTTAGATTTTTAACGAAATATATTGTTTAATTTAAATCAAACCGCAACCCGACATTTCGTATATTTTATTGTCAACCCTATAAAAAATATAAATGGTTAAAAATGCCGTTAAGGCTTATTTACAGCTCGTTAGTAACAATCTATCAAAATATCTTGAGAAGCCATTGTAAGTCATGCGATAGCTTGCTATCACTTTACAAGTTTTGCTGAACGCTAAAAGTTATCCGAAAAGAATCTCAATATAAGATCAAGCTTCTAAATGTTTCTTTATTTGTTATGATAAATCGATATTAATAACGTTGTTTTGCAAAGTATGCGAGTAACAAAACATTTTACACGATTTTATGTGTCTATTTATCTTAAAAGAGAGACTAAATATATATACTGTCTGAGAGTTTCTAGATCATTTAAAGAGAAATCATTCTTTCATACGTATTATTTGAGTTTCTCGAACCGATTTCGAAGCGCACGCAGCGAGATCCCTCAACGATAATTAATTTTTCGAGATTTTTTTCACACTTTCCATTTTCATTCGTCGCAGCGCGATGCTTTATATCCATAAAGCCTTCCTCGGACCAGTACTTCCTGAGATTGCGTGTTTTAAAACAAACATACAATTTCTTCAGCTAATTACGCGAGGGCAACTAAAAAAAAATCAAAAACAATATTTTATTAATACTAAGTCCCAACGCGTACTGGAGTAGCACGAAATCCAGCAGTGAAATTTATATAAAAGCCACAAATGATACTCTTCGTTTTCTGTAACGAAGTAATACAATTTTATACAAAACGAATTTTAACAACTTACGTTACATCGAAATATACATAAATGTTACAAAATTATTAGACATTGTTCAAGAAAAAATTTAAATATTTTTTTTTACAGTGTAAACGCAAATCGACTTCTTTATTCCATTCATTTTGTATGCGGTGGCAACGTTTCGGATGCTTTGCAGCAGCTGTGG